CTCCTCTTCCTCGCGGCTCAGCGGCGGCGGCGGGATCGACGCTTCTCGATTTTCTTGGCAACGCTCGCCGGCGGCGGGAACTTCAGGAACTCCGCCGTTGCTGTTGCTTCCGCTGCTGCTGCTGCTGCTGTTGTCTCCGTCGCTGCCATCCGCCGATGACGACGATCGATCAGACGTGCTACTACTACTAGAACCGCCGTCGGTGTCGCTGCTGCTATCTCTTACTGTTCCTCCAACCGCATCACATGACTCTTCATGATAGTAGGATTTATCATTGCCCGTCTCTTGCCGCCGTTTCTTCATCAGATAACAATGGCTTGGGTATCTTGCATCCTTGGGGAACAACTTGCTGCTACTATGCAACCTCTTGCCATCCGGTGCTTCCTTGGGGAACAACTTGCTGCTACTATGAAAATGAAACCTCTTGGCATCCGGGGCTACGTCGCCGTCCGCCGTCACGGTGGGGCTGCTCCTCTTCATCGTCGTCTTGCCACCAAGCTTGACGGCATGGGGATCGGCGTACTTGCCACCTCCGAGGTTGCCATTGATGTTCTTGCCGGGGATGGGGCGCGACGGCACGACGCTCTCGACGGGGATCTTGTTGCCCTTGTGGAGCACGACCCAGCCCTTCTCCCCGTACACCTGCCGGGGCCGGAGCGCGTCGCGGTCCGCCGTGAGGACCTGGGACGAGCCGACGATCTTGACCTCGAACTGGTCGGCGGCGGCGGCCACGACCTCGGCCCACTTCCACAGGCTGCCGTCCAGCACCTCGACGTTGTCGCCGGGGACGAGGTCTGCGGGGAGCTTGACGGCGGGGTCGGGGAGCGGGCGGACGAACTTCCTCAGGATGCGGCCCGACTCCGGGCCGCCGTCGAACCAGCGCATGACGTAGGAGTGGCCGTTGCCCCAGACGACCTCGCCGGCGCGCCAGGCGCCCATGGCCATGGGAGGCGCCGCCGCGTCGTCCGTGGTGACCCACGCCTCCAGGCTCATGCCCAGCGTGATCCTCATGGCCGGCCGATCCTGCCTGTTCCCTCGATGATCCCCTCTCTCTACCGTGTTATCTTTGGACGCCTGCCGCAGCGAACTCGATCGCGACGCTATATATAAACTCGGCGAGAGGGAGAGAGACGCCGAGTCTAGTCGGATTCGATGAGACGCCGAGTTCTTGGGCGACTCGGAAGTAGGAACCGACACGTACTCCAACAAGCTAGCTCACCGTACGGATCGAGTACGACACTGACACGGCCGCCGGCAACGACATGTGACTGGGCTGGGACGTACTTGACGGCGGACGGTTTGCCGGACGACGTTGGCGATCAACGGCACGAGCAGGGAGCACGTTGTCGTGGTCTCAGCTAGGCTTAGTTCACAGAAGAATAAAACTCTTTGGGCAACTTGAACGCAAACCCTCGAACCGTTCGCAAGCGTTCAGATCAAACGGTTTAGACTTCCAACGTAATTTGCCATCCAAGGGGTACCTCATTGATCCCGAACTGGTCTGATTGCTCGTTTTTTTTCCGCAAATCATGGGGCTTTTGCCGTCTTCCGGACGGCAGACACACTCGTGTCCGACAATTCAGCCCCACCCAAAAACCCTCTGTCGAAAGAATCCTCTGCACCCGATGCGGTTGCCGCGCATTTATGTCCGTCGAGGCCGCTGAAGAGCGGACGTGCCTGAACAGCATTGATGCCGGTCAAAGCGACGCAACCAAACGAGTAGGTGGTGCCGTTTCAATGCCCACACGGCGGCCGAGAAGCCTACTCCAGCCACCGCGTTGTATTGAAGCCGGCTTCATGTCCCTTCGCCTGGCCTCATTAATTTAAGCCGGGATTCGGTGCCATTCACACCACACCTTTACTATAGATAGTCTATGTTTTTTTTAAGTTCAAGTTAAACTGACGAATTATCGTCTGTTTATGTAAATTATGTTTGAACTTTTATGAATTTTGTTGTGTTTGATGAAATTTATCTGGTTTATTTAAATTTGTTTTGAATTTGATGCAGGTATGATTAAACGAACGGCTCTTATATCACTGCCCGTGGATGTACAACGTCGGTTTTAGGAGTAGTAGCATTGGAGATGCCCTTAACACAATATCTCTCGTCACACATATGAGGATATCTTAGCACAACTCCAGCGGCCGATTGCGCCACAGCCGAATGAGTGGGTTACAGAATTCGAAAGTGAACCCGCGATTCCACGCCCAATATCTGGGCGCCAAATGTGCTTAAAAAATATTTTCTCTGTTTCATAATATAAGAGCGTCTTTTTACACTAGTTTAATGTAAAAAAACATTTTTATATTATGTGACGGAGGGAGTAATTCATTGTATATTTTTTTGTCATGTCTAGGCTTAAGGTAAGACTACCTTAAACCATCTACAACCGAATTTCCCATTTCCGTCTCAAACGCCTGCATGTGTGGTCACTATCCGGACAAAAATTAGCCATCGAACTGGATTTCTCAAACCTAGCCCAAATGCATGGGTTGTCCGGCAACTTTCATATCAAGTTCATATGTGGGACGGATATGGGGAGACCCGGATGCGCCCGTACACCACGGGCACATCGGTTCAACCGAGTATGGCCCACGCCACCCCACCACCATCCCCACAAAAAGCATATCCAAAGCTACTCCACTCCGCTCACTTCTCTCGCCCTCTTCAATCTCCTCCGTCCCCTCGTAATCCATTTTGTGGTCCTCTCCGTCCCCTCCGCCATGGTCGGCTCTGGCTCTAACGAGTTTGATTGGGTGGGGCTCGCCGTTGGTGACCCATATAGCTCGTCCGAGCCGGACAAGGAGGAGCTCACACTCCACATAGCACTCTTGCGCTTGCTGATGGACCAGGGCGGGAGCTCCTCCTCGACGGCGCCCACAAGCTTGTGGGTCGGCAATCCTTCCTCTGTGGCGGCCCGACGCCGCCCTGCCCACTCTCTACCATCGATGGCGAGGCGGCAACGCGATCTACGACGCCCGACACCGCCAGCAATGGGCCCTGCTAGGAGCTGCTGGGTGCTGGTGCCCGTACTCCCTAGCACATCGGCACAGTAGCAGCAGCAAAAGACAGTGGGACGCCCCTACCACCATGTAATGAAGGCAGCAGCATAGGACGGAGCGCGACACGACTGCGGGTCATCAAGATCCTCGCCGTAGCCGCCGTAGCCCGCCGAGGACGAAGATGCAATGCTCCACCTTGTAATCCGTCAGTCCTACACCTCGGCGGAGACAGATGCCCGCCGCCGCCGCCGCCTCAAGAACGCGACGGCTCCCCGTCGCGCGCTCGACGAGTCGGGGAAGGTGGCACAATCGAAGGAGGTGGCGGCGGAGAGAGCCGCCCGACTCGCAGTAGAGGAGAACCGCGCCGCCCGACGCTTCACGGGCTTGCTTATCTCGTCCTCGTCCTCCGGCTCTGACAATGACAACGACAGTATGATAAGCCGCCCACTACGGATGCGGGCGCCGCTAACAACCACCGAGACCGCAAGGGGAAGTGACCGGCGAGGGAGTGGTGAACTCCGGCCGCCCCTGTCCGTTTATATCTAGGTTTTTTAACGTTTACAATTAGCTAAAATTTAAACTGTCTCGGCCCTTTTGTATGAACTATGTGGACGTTCGACTTTGGAAGTGCTAAGTTTTATACTATATCGTATAATCGACATAATTTGTATGGGTTCGTGATTGTGAAGTGAGGGAAATGGGAACTGTCCATGCATCGTCAGCGAGCCCGCCCGGACACACCCGCGGCGTTTGGGGAAGGAGCACGCCTTCACAGTTCATTTTGTGGGGCGTTGATTCGTCATCCAATGGGCACACACTCTGCACTGTACATGGCGTCGTACCGGCCACAGCTCATCGAACTATAGTCATAGTTTTAAATAGCCGGCTAAATGGTTTCATGTATAATTACCACTATACTCCCTCCGTCCGGGTTTTTTAGGCCTAAAGACAACTTCTCTTAGACCAAGACAAATAGTAATTTGCTCACATTAATTATTCCATTCCACTTCCAATGCACTCTCTCACATGCATGCAGCCAATGAAAAAGCACACATGAAGTGTATTAACTTTTCAGCCATGGCACCAACAACAATAGCTTTCAATACAACCAATGAAATGGTTACATGCATGCACCTTTCCAATGCGGGACCTTATAAAAGGGGACATGCTTGTGATGCTGAGAGGCCTAATAAACCCGGACGGAGGGAGTAGTTCTGCTATAGCCCATTATAGCCCAGCTATAGCTGTTTTTAAGGGTCGCCACTAAATGTCATAGCCGGCTATTTAAAACATCGTCCCGCCGCGTCCAGCACGTGCTCCGGCGACTCTCACCGCCGGCCCGACGGCCCCTCGCTCCGCACCCATTCCGGCATGGTCGAGCTCCTCGCCGACCTCCTCCACGACGCCCCGCCCGCGCCCTACACCGGCCTCGCCCCCGCCCACGTCTCCTCGCTCCTCCTGCTCCTGCCTCCCCACACCGTCTCCCCGCTCTGGCTCTTCCTCCCCGCGCTTTCCTTCCCATGCCCACGCCGTCAGTCTCGCCATCTTCCCCGCACGCCGCATCACTCCGAACCAATATGCGGCTTCCCACATATCGTTCCCCCTTGTCAAGTTTCGTCAGCTCACCCTTGCCCGTGTCCTGTTCGATGAAATGCCGCAGTCTGGTGTTCGCCTGGATGAGCATGTTTACACGGCTGGGATTCGGGTTTACAGCGAGGCAGGGAATATCACTGCGCGGAGAGGCTCGTGGCGAGGATTGAGGGTCAAGGTCAGCGTGGTGTCGTATGTACTGTTGTATGGATTGGGCACAACGCATTCAGGAGGCAGTGGTAGCCGCCGAGGTAAAGAATAACGTGGTGGTGACTGGGTGCTGCTGTATGGGTTTTGTTGGACAGAGGAGCTGTAAATGGCGTTGAGAATGGCGACATGGCCAGGCTTGCTTTCGTGCCATCAGAGGTCAATTGCTCATTTCTGCTTGATAGGCTACGAAAGAGGGTATGGCGACGAACATATTTGCATACAATGCATTGCCTGATAACCTGTGCAAGAATGGTATGTTCGGTGAGGCAGACAGGCTTTTCAGTGAGATGTTAGACAGGGTTCTGGTGCCAAATGAGGTGACTTATCTTATACTGATACATGCACTTTGCAAAAGGGGGGTGATGGAGGATCCACTTCATATGTTTGATAGGATGTGGGAGAAGGGAGTCAGACTGACAGTTTATCCATACATTTCCTTAATTAATGATTGCTGCAAAACAGGAGGATTTGGACATGGCAGACGGCCTTTCTGGGCGAGATGGCTAAGATAGGAGTGACACTGAATGTAGCTTCATATTCTCCACTCATAGCCGGTCTATATAGAGAAGGGGGCCTATCCAGTGCCATGGAACTCCACCAGAGATGGCTGAGAAGGTTGTTGCATGGACTACTTATACGTTAACAGCCCTCATAAATGTTTTCTGCCAAATGAAGCTTCTCGGTTGTTTAATAAGATGATTGACAGCAATCTAGTACCAAATGAAACAACTTTTAGTGTCATGATAGAAGGGTATTTCCTGGTAGGTAATATAAAGAGGCATTCCAGTTGTATGATGAAATGGTGGATAGGGGCCTCAAACCTGGCAATTACACAATCTGGGGCTGCCAGAATATACAGTCGCTTCTTTCAGGTGCACAATCTCACTCTAATGTTGTACTTCCTGTCATGTTTTGGTAACTAGATTTTGGTTCGATAGTGCTATAACAATTATTGCAACTCTCAGTGATTGTACTCCTGTGGGCAATTGCTTTTTTTCTTTCTGCCGGCTCTTGGAGTTGTTTTTTCCATGTCAGTTTCCCTTTTGCATAGAGGTTGGCTGGTTATTCTAAAAACAGGCCAATTGCATGCTTAATATCAATGCTTTTTGTGTGTGCTGCCTTTAACTTTAACCGCAAGGAATGAAATAAGGAAAGTCAATCATGAACTATGCCTCCTGCAGTCCTGCTGCTCGACTCTGCCATCTCCAGATCAATCAAGGACGGCCCCAAGTGCACATTCTCTAGTAGTACTAGCACTGTCCGGTGTCAGTTGCTGCTTAGACTCTGGTTATATTTTTTTCGAGAATGATTATGTTGGAATATTATTGCGAGTACTTGATGAGAATTGATGCGGGATGTGCTAGTATGTAGCAGGGTAACTTGGTTTCACGCGCGTTAGAAGGATTCCATGTTTTGCTGCTTTTTGAAACTGAATGGTAATAATGCATTTCTAGTCTGATTTCTGTTTTGTGACAAATTCCTCGTGCTTTCAAATATATGCATTTCTTACTGGATATGTGAAATATTAAGGTCAATTTCTGTTACTACTGGGTAATGCCCTCTAAGTCTTTTTTTGGTACACATGGATAATACTTTGTTAACAGTCTGACTGCTGATTTGCTTGGAGCAAAAAATTCATGTTGCCAGCCTTCTGGATTGAGGATGTGATTTCTCAAATCTTTGCAAATTTTGAGAACCCATGTAATATGCTGAAAATTGCTATTGCTATAGTAATATTATGTAACACCAGGATTTTACATTCTACGTTTATCTGATACAGTTGCAAATAAAATAGCTCCGACAACAAATGCTAACTAAAATTACATATGAAACTCCTATTATTGCAGGATCATATCATTCCAGATTGAATGTCTTGAGCCGAGGCTCCCCTTTTGCTCCATCTTCCCTAATATGGTTACCAGCAAATAGGAGATATGCATCTCTGATCGCATGCATCTCTGCTGCTGCATTTCTTATCAACGTCCGCTCTCGAGGCTGTGTCTTTGAGCAGGATATGCCAAGCCTGAAGACAGAAAGCAAGCACTCCTGGATTCTACTACTGGTAATATCATCCTTTGGTTCTCCATGCAGCCAGATTGTTGGGTCAGCTATCTCCAAGGTTCTGTCAGGAAGAGCATCCTCGACAAATTTATGCAGATCCAGTGAATCCCCAAATGTTTCATCTATTGGGCTTCTTCCAGTAAACATCTCAAGCAGCAATATGCCAAGACTATAAATATCACCATGAGTGGATACCACAGAGCCTTCTCCATACTCTACAATTATGCAAAGTTTTGTGGTTAGCATGCCATATTTGAGTGAAAAGTAAAAGATACTAATATTCAAGAATTCCAGTCACCTGGAGCAACATAGCCTATGGAGCCTCTTATTCCAACTGAGCTATATGAATTTTGCATTCCCCCGCTTGTATTTTCTTGAAGGATCCTTGATATGCCAAAGTCTCCAACTCGGGCGCTCATGTTGTCAGAAAGAAGAATGTTGCTTGGCTTAAGGTCGCAATGGATTACCGATGGTTGACAGTAGTTGTGCAGATATTCTACTGCGTCCACAATATCGACTCCAATATCAAGCCTCTTGGCAAGGCTGAGTGTGTTGCTTGTAGCGGGCTCTTGAGATTTTGGATGAAGCCAACCAGCCAAGTTACCATTGGGCATGAACTCAAAAATCAATGCCTTGAACTCTTGACCTTGGTGGTTGATGCTTGAACAAGAGGTAATGATCTTAACGAGACAACGGTGTCGTATCCTTCTCATGGCTTCACATTCAGTCTCAAAACTCTTGGAATACCTAGATTGACCAAGATTAAACACCTTGACAGCCAATGTTCTTTCCTCATTGTCCAAGACACACTTATAAACCGCTCCATAACTTCCTCTCCCGAGCAAGTTGACTTCTGAAAATTCATTAGTTCCTCTCAATAATACTTGATAGGGAATTCTCTGGTAATGGTCATCAACAATTAAATTTTGTGATAATGTCTTGTGGCTTTGTTTGAGCCTCTTGCAAAGTATCCAAACAAGAAGAATAAGTGAAAGTGACAACAAGATTGCTCCGGCTGTTGCTAGAGAAATTACAAGAGACTTTTGCATCTTCTTTTTGCTCTTGCTTAAGAGGCTTATGGAGCATGGAGCCAAATGAAGCTGAGGTGTACCTCCACACAAATTGACATTCCCATCAACTGCTAAGTAAGTGATGTTTCGGAAAACACCTTCATTTGGCACCTCGCCTTGCAAATTATTGAAGGATACATCCAATTTAAATAATAATGTCAAATTCTGTAGAGCTACTGGTATTGACCCTGACAAGTTATTGTGTGCTAGGTACAGTTCCTGCAGGTTTCCAATGCTAGCAAGGGCATCAGGAATATCACCAGATAACTTATTCATGGTCAGGTTCAGTATACTGAGCCCCTTTATATTCTTCAGTGACTGAGGTATGCTTCCCTCAAAGGAATTATTGTCTAATGATAGCCATTGCAACACTATGCAGTTCTGGATACTGTCGGGTATCTTGCCAGATAACTGGTTTCCTGCTAGAATTAGTATGTTAAGGTTTGCCAAGCTACCAACATCATTAGGAATGGGCCCAGAAAATGAATTGTATGACAAATCCAAGTACCAAGATAGGCTGGATAATTTAAAAATCTCTCTGGGAATTGAACCGTTAAGTCGGTGATTCTTTGACAAGTCAAGTACGAAGAGGTTTTTCAACTCCCCCATGCTTGCTGGAATTGGTCCCTCCAAGTTGTTGTTGTATGCATAAAACCTATTCAATTGTGAAAGATTTCCCAGAGATGCCGGTATGAGGCCAGACAACGTATTATTGTACAAGCCCAGCTCAATCAAGTTCTCTAGCTTACCAATGCTATCTGGAATAACTCCTGATATGGAATTATTTGCTATTAGCACCACACTGAGACCAACCAGATTGCCAATATCTGCGGGTATACTCCCAGAGATCCTAGTGTCATCTAAGTATAACTGTTGGAGAGTTGTCGAGAGGTTTACAATTGAACCTGGTAGTTGTCCTCCAAAGGAATTGTTGCTGAGTATCAATTTCTGCAGTTGGCTGCAGTTTGCCAAAGAAGTGATGAATTCCCACCCCTTGTTGTCGTTCGCTTCAAGCTTATTGTCAGCCAAGTTCAGATATTGGAGAGCTCCCATCTTCCCCAATGTGGGAGGCACATACCCACTAAACCCATTCTGCACGAGGCCAAGTGCTACGAGGGAAGAAATGTTTGATATTGAGGAGGGGATGGTTCCTGTGAAGTGATTTCCACCCAAGGCAAGAGTTTTGATCATGGGGAACTTGCTTCCGATATCATCCGGAATGCTTCCATACAGCATATTTACCCCTACATTAAGTACTTCCAGAGATGATAAGTTGTAGACAGAATCTGGAAGCATACCCGAGAGGTTGTTTCTGACGACAGTGAACTGCCGCAATTTGTGGAGGGTGCCGAGCCCTGGCGGGATTGAGCCCACGAGTTGGTTAAGGCCGAGATCAAGGTTTTGCAGATAGGACAGATTGGCCAGCGATGCCGGGATAGGCCCTGTGAAGCTGTTGTTTCTCAGCGAGACTTCTTCCAGGGACGCGAGCCTGTCGCCGAGCTCGGTCGGTATGCGCCCCCCAAGCTTGTTGTTGCGCAGTCTCATCTCCGTCATGCTGATGCAGGAGCTCAGGTTCACAGGGAACGTGCCGGAGAAGGAGTTGTCGCTCAAGTCGAGCCTCTGCAGGCGCCGGAGGCGTCCGAGGCTCGCCGGAATCTCCCCATGGAACCAGTTGAAGCTCAGGTTGAGCGTCTGCAGGAACGTGAGGTTCCCGAGGGCTGGGGAGAGCACTCCGACGAGCGCCCTGCTGTCCAAGCGCAGCGCCACCGCACGCTTGGGCGTCCAGTGGCTGCACGTCACGCCCTCCCAGCTGCAGAAGCCGACGCTGCTGTTCCAGGAGGCCAGCGCGCCGCCGTCGCTTATCTGCTCCCTGAAAGCAAGCAGCGCGGCCTCGTCGCCAGCGCTCACCACGGCGATCAGCAGAGCGCCTGCTACTACTAGTGACCATGACAAGCTCTTGATCCCCGTTGCCATGCCCATTATGCTATGGTTCTCCAAATAGCAGGTTCTTCCTCTTCAAATATAACCTGATGTGGTCACAACTCACACTCACACATGCCTTGCCGCCTTGCATTTATTTATTCATCTGAAAGCGCAGTGCTAAAATTTCAACAGAGCCTTCACCGCTCGGCTGACTTTCAAGAAATGATGTAGACCTTTGGTCCTATCTTTGACAAAGCTGCATGATTGCCTCTCCGGAGTTGACAACCATCTGCGCCTCGAATGGATCAGCGATGACCACGACGAGCCGACAACAGCGTAACGGTGCCACACAGGGATTGAGCCGAAGATTCTCAGGGCCGAAGTTTCATACAGACGCACGGTCGAAAACCGTTGTAACTGCGGTATTCCTGAGCAGTTCGAAAGCCCGATGGACAGGC